CCCACCCCCTACTTACCGGCATGGAGTCTGCGCCCAGCTCCCTGTGGTGGCGAGCTGGAACTGTCCGAATCTCTGACACTCTCCAAAACTTTTCTGAATTGATTTGGAGAGCTTCAAATCGATTTGGACCTTTTTATTGGTCTCCTGATTGGATTTGGATTTGGAGATTTGGCCGTCGAAGCTCCCCCGAATTGAATCAGCACCCAAAGCTTCGCACAGCTCTAAGAAATAGCAGCCCAAAGGAGAGAGATATCCTTAGCTCCACCCTTTTCAGGGACTTAAGTACCTATCTCTGGGCTGAAGAACGGGGTCTTGTCAGACATTCACTTGAAACAGTTATAAATCATTGGAATGTTGTGATGTATTAAAGTCAGATAACCCTTGCCTGAAAGAGAACAACTTTGCAATGCCACTAGGGTACTTAACACATGCTAAACTGTTTGAACATGTGTCTGGTTGCATTTTAACTGCACTTAATGTTAAATTGAACATGTGACTCCCACCTTGGGTCTCACTCCGTTCAGATTTCACAGCCATGCCCCTTCTCCAGCAGGCTGGTGCCCAAGACATATAGTTCTCTTACACCTAGAACACAGCAAGGAAAAGGAAGAGGTGGTGCTCCTTTCCTTACCCAAGAGGGATTTAAACCCGGATCACCACCTCATAGGATGATACACTAACCATAGGATGGTAGGAGATTTTAAGCATTGGTTTGGTGCAGAGTGTACCAAATGTTGGGTGCTATGTCCACATCTGGTGAGATGTGTAGGGAAAATTTCTTATAGAAACTTAGGTGCTTAGCGAATTTAGATATTCTAGTGTGTGCTGGAAAATGGATGGGGATTTCGTAGCTCTATATTTTGGACTTCAGCATTTAAGTCCTCCTGGGGATGTGGCATTTTTCATGTTCTTTCTTGAATTTCTGTGCAAACTGCCTTGTGACATCAGTGAGACATATAGTCCTGAATTTATACCATAGACCATGCTAAATACAGCCCTCCAAATGATTTTCATAGATTTCATAGACATTAGGGCTGGAAGGGACCTCGGAAGATCATCGAGCCCAGCCCCCCGCCCAAAGGGCAGGAAGTCAGCTGGGGTCATAGGATCCCAGCAAGGTAGGTATCCAATTTACTCCTGAAGGTGTTCAATGTAGGTGCTTGAACAACCTCTGATGGCAGGCTGTTCCAGACCTTGGGGGCT